TCTCACTAGGTGGATTTTAGTAACATTAATACTCTCTACATTATCCAAAAAAATTAGCCAACTAAAACCCCGGAGTCATATAGAAAAAGTACCCTTTATTTTACATGTACCCATTTATTTATACATCTTTATTTTTTTAAGGAAAACTAGGCTTTATGCGGTATTCTCACTAGGTGGATTTTAGTAACATTAATACTCTCTACATTATCCAAAAAAATTAGCCCACTAAAACCCCGGAGTCATATAGAAAAAGTACCCTTTATTTTACATGTACCCATTTATTTATACATCTTTTTTTTTTAAGGAAAACTAGGCTTTATGCGGTATTCTCACTAGGTGGATTTTAGTAACATTAATACTCTCTACATTATCCAAAAAATTAGCCTCCTGAAACCCCGGCGTCATATAGAAAAAGTACCCTTCATTTTACATGTACCCATTTATTTATACATCTTTATTTTTTTAAGGAAAACTAGGCTTTATGCGGTATTCTCACTAGGTGGATTTCAGTAACATTAATACTCTCTACATTATCCAAAAAAATTAGCCAACTAAAACCCCGGAGTCATATAGAAAAAGTACCCTTTATTTTACATGTACCCATTTATTTATACATCTTTATTTTTTTAAGGAAAACTAGGCTTTATGCGGTATTCTCACTAGGTGGATTTTAGTAACATTAATACTCTCTACATTATCCAAAAAAATTAGCCCACTAAAACCCCGGAGTCATATAGAAAAAGTACCCTTTATTTTACATGTACCCATTTATTTATACATCTTTTTTTTTTAAGGAAAACTAGGCTTTATGCAGTATTCTCACTAGGTGGATTTTAGTAACATTAATACTCTCTACATTATCCAAAAAATTAGCCTCCTGAAACCCCGGCGTCATATAGAAAAAGTATCCTTCATTTTACATGTACCCATTTATTTATACATCTTTATTTTTTTAAGGAAAACTAGGCTTTATGCGGTATTCTTACTAGGTGGATTTTAGTAACATTAATACTCTCTACATTATCCAAAAAATTAGCCTCCTGAAACCCCGGCGTCATATAGAGAAAGTACCCTTCATTTTACATGTACCCATTTATTTATACATCTTTATTTTTTTAAGAAAAACTAGGCTTTATGCGGTATTCTCACTAGGTGGATTTTAGTAACATTAATACTCTCTACATTATCCAAAAAAATTAGCCAACTAAAACGCCGGAGTCATATAGAAAAAGTACCCTTTATTTTACATGTACCCATTTATTTATACATCTTTATTTTTTTAAGGAAAACTAGGCTTTATGCGGTATTCTCACTAGGTGGATTTTAGTAACATTAATACTCTCTACATTATCCAAAAAAATTAGCCCACTAAAACCCCGGAGTCATATAGAAAAAGTACCCTTTATTTTACATGTACCCATTTATTTATACATCTTTATTTTTATAAGGAAAACTAGGCTTTATGCGGTATTCTCACTAGGTGGATTTCAGTAATATTAATACTCTCTACATTATATAAAAAAATTAGCCTCCTAAAACCCCGGAGTCATATAGAAAAAGTACCCTTTATTTTACATGTACCCATTTATTTATACATCTTTATTTTTTTAAGAAAAACTAGGCTTTATGCGGTATTCTCACTAGGTGGATTTTAGTAACATTAATACTCTCTACATTATCCAAAAAAATTAGCCAACTAAAACCCCGGAGTCATATAGAAAAAGTACCCTTTATTTTACATGTACCCATTTATTTATACATCTTTATTTTTTTAAGGAAAACTAGGCTTTATGCGGTATTCTCACTAGGTGGATTTTAGTAACATTAATACTCTCTACATTATCCAAAAAAATTAGCCCACTAAAACCCCGGAGTCATATAGAAAAAGTACCCTTTATTTTACATGTACCCATTTATTTATACATCTTTTTTTTTTAAGGAAAACTAGGCTTTATGCGGTATTCTCACTAGGTGGATTTTAGTAACATTAATACTCTCTACATTATCCAAAAAATTAGCCTCCTGAAACCCCGGCGTCATATAGAAAAAGTACCCTTCATTTTACATGTACCCATTTATTTATACATCTTTATTTTTTTAAGGAAAACTAGGCTTTATGCGGTATTCTTACTAGGTGGATTTTAGTAACATTAATACTCTCTACATTATCCAAAAAATTAGCCTCCTGAAACCCCGGCGTCATATAGAAAAAGTACCCTTTATTTTACATGTACCCATTTATTTATACATCTTTATTTTTTTAAGGAAAACTAGGCTTTATGCGGTATTCTCACTAGGTGGATTTTAGTCACATTAATACTCTCTACATTATCCAAAAAAATTAGCCCACTAAAACCCCGGAGTCATATAGAAAAAGTACCCTTTATTTTACGTGTACCCATTTATTTATACATCTTTTTTTTTAAGGAAAACTAGGCTTTATGCGGTATTCTCACTAGGTGGATTTTAGTAACATTAATTCTCTCTACATTATCCAAAAACATTAGCCCACTAAAACCCCGGAGTCATATAGAAAAAGTACCCTTTATTTTACATGTACCCATTTATTTATACATCATTATTTTTTTTAATGAAAACTAGGCTTTATGCGGTATTCTCACTAGGTGGATTTTAGTAACATTAATACTCTCTACATTATCCAAAAAAATTAGCCCAATAAAACCCCGGAGTCATATAGAAAAAGTACCCTTTATTTTACATGTACCTATTTATTTATACATCTTTATTTTTTTAAGGAAAACTAGGCTTTATGCGGTATTCTCACTAGGTGGATTTCAGTAACATTAATACTCTCTACATTATCCAAAAAATTAGCCTCCTGAAACCCCGGCGTCATATAGAAAGAGTACCCTTCATTTTACATGTACCCATTTATTTATACATCTTTATTTTTTTAAGGAAAACTAGGCTTTATGCGGTATTCTCACTAGGTGGATTTCAGTAACATTAATACTCTCTACATTATCCAAAAAATTAGCCTCCTGAAACCCCGGCGTCATATAGAAAAAGTACCCTTCATTTTACATGTACCCATTTATTTATACATCTTTATTTTTATAAGGAAAACTAGGCTTTAAGCGGTATTCTCACTAGGTAGATTTCAGTAATATTAATACTCTCTACATTATATAAAAAAATTAGCCTCCTAAAACCCCGGAGTCATATAGAAAAAGTACCCTTTATTTTACATGTACCCATTTATTTATACATCTTTATTTTTTTAAGGAAAACTAGGCTTTATGCGGTATTTTCACTAGGTGGATTTTAGTAACATTAATACTCTCTACATTATCCAAAAACATTAGGCCACTAAAACCCCGGAGTCATATAGAAAAAGTACCCTTTATTTTACATGTACCCATTTATTTATACATCATTATTTTTTTTAATGAAAACTAGGCTTTATGCGGTATTCTCACTAGGTGGATTTTAGTAACATTAATACTCTCTACATTATCCAAAAAAATTAGCGCACTAAAACCCCGGAGTCATATAGAAACAGTACCCTTTATTTTACATGTACCTATTTATTTATACATCTTTATTTTTTTAAGGAAAACTAGGCTTTATGCGGTATTCTCACTAGGTGGATTTTAGTAACATTAATACTCTCTACATTATCCAAAAAATTAGCCTCCTGAAACCCCGGCGTCATATAGAAAAAGTACCCTTCATTTTACATGTACCCATTTATTTATACATCTTTATTTCTTTAAGGAAAACTAGGCTTTATGCGGTATTCTCACTGGGTGGATTTTAGTAACATTAATACTCTCTACATTATCCAAAAAAATTAGCCCACTAAAACCCCGAAGTCATATTAGAAAA